TATTTGCACGACTACTCTATGTTCCGGCTTTTGTGCCCTCTCTTGCTTTTTGTTGGGTACCCTACTGAGTGCCTTTGCGGTAGTCCAGTGTGGGGACTGCATTCTCTGAATGTTACTTAGCATTGTTGATCCTTGTTGTATTTTCTTGTTGCATATCCATAATAAACGTGCGTAGTTCTTTTAATTGCACGTTTCTCAGTCCATTAATGAAAAAGCCAGGGGTGTGGTAAACTGGAAATATGATTTTTTGCCAATTGCCCACGGACAACAAATGGAGCAGAAATTATTACTCGTGCATGTTAAAGAAGTCAACATTTAACATGCAGATTTCTTTTTTTTTTCCCAGGGAGGAATTTAACCCGATCCAGTTTTAATGGCGAGTCATATTATTACATTAGTACACATATAAAAACTTTTTTAAATCAAGGTCCGCCTAGTCTCGAGTGACGGTCCGCCCTGTCCCAAAATATGGTCCGCCTAGTCTCGAGTCACGCCCTGGTATGGTCCGCCCCGTCTCACGGTCCGCCCTGTCCTGCAGGCCTATAAACACGGCTAAAATTACAGACGTGCGATGGTAAAGGACCAGCCCCTGAACCCGGCCGTATAAGTTACTGTAACATTGAGAAATTAATTATGATAAACCGTGATGTAATACACTCGAGGGCGATCAGGAGTTAGGCTGCTGGCGTTATAAACCAACTATGTTATGGTTGTATATATAGCTTTAACAGGAAGTTGCACCTCGTGAGTTCCTATCTTAGATAAATTGACTTGAGTCAAAAGCAAGTTCCAAATCAAAATTCTCCTATGAAAATGAGAAGAAGAAGAAGAGAAGAAGAAGAGGAGGAGGAAGAAGAAGAAGAAGAAGAGGAAAACAACAACCAGGCAAGACGCGTTCACAGAACGCTATCTCCGATACAATTCATTCACTCTACCTTCAGGGTCACATAATGATTACAAAAAACAATCAAAATCCAAACAATTAAGATACGTACTCATACAATTACTCTTTTATACTGTACATGATACATGCCATTGTAACATTTTCTGAATCTAAAAATGTGTTAATCAATGGGTATTGTAATTACTACTGATATACGTGGGAAATAGCATGAACTCAGTTTGGATCTCAGAAATTCAGCGTCGCTAAGAAAACATCTGTGAATATCCACAGATCTAAATGTGCAAGATAATAATCATACATGAAGCAAAAGTAAATCAATCACAGGGTAAGTTTTCAATTTTTAACATTTCTATGAAATTCAAAGCTTTTATGAAAAAAAAATCGACATGTAATTCTAGCCTCCCGTCTTTCCTCTTCGTATTTATATATATAGTCATAGAGTCACATCAAAGATTTTTTGACTAACTTCATGTCTGCTAATTAAGTAGCTTAACACCGTCAAACTGTTATAAAAAACATTATATATTTGTTAAGGAGGCCAAAACATTTGTTGTCTTTTCAAATTTAAAGTTCTGGTGTAAAAATTTGTCCACGAATGCTCTCTCGGGATGAAGTCGAAAGGAGCCTCGAATACAAAAAAAAAATAATCCGGTTTTCTCCTTTTTTACGCATTTTCTGTGGAACAAAAAAAAATGATAAATTCTTGCGCAAAATGTTTCACATGGACGGGACCTCTTTATATGCCAATTTTCATTTGATTGTACATTAATTGTTTCCTCGAAAACGAGAGTAGAATTATTTTTTTTGCAGACTGTTTATATGAAGAGGACTTGCATTTCGATCATTGCATAACAATCAATTTTCGAGCGTCATAATAGTGAGTGAAAAAATATCCGCTTTTCTATGTCACCCTAGTAAAAGATCAGTTAATAATACTTAAAGCAAAACTTTTTATTGGCATCTATCAACAATTGCATATTTACAATCATACATAAAACTGTAAACTGTGAATCATGTATAGCACACAAAATTTACAAATTGAGGGGCTGCTAAGTTATCAAATACTATGGTAAACGTTTACGCTTACATTATTTACGCAACGTAACGTAAAGTTACGTATGTAACGTAAAGTTACGTCTCATCTTCCTCTACGTCATGTCACGATCATGTTTTGTATAATCAAGTTATTTTCAGCTAACCTATAGCTTGTATCATATATAGTTATGTATACATTTATTTTATTCAGTGAGGGTAAAATTGATTTAAATTAAAAACAGAAAAGAAGCAGGCCTGCCACTCTTATCTATTTATTGCTTTTGATCCCCGGCAGCATGGTGAACAGCATGATTGTTTTGTATTTTGTTACACAATACGGTACTATACAGACGTTATTGTAAATCTGCCAAAAAATGCATGTAATTACCCTTAAGTTATGCATTTCTTCAAGAAAGAAATTTACTTGCGCATATGCATAACATTATAAGGCAAAAAACAAACAAACGAAACTTAACGTAGAAAAAGAAAAACTAACTGTCGATGTTATGTCATTTAAAGAAAGGGACGATTTTTCATACCAACATCTGTGTTCCAATATTACTCTGTTTGCTATAAGCCCGCATTTTGAGCGTCAAATTTTCGTAACTTAATGCAGATCTATAAATGTATATACATCTATATTACACTGAACTTTGCGATTATTGACATGTACAATGCACATCTTTGCGCTGAATGCCTCAATATGCGGTGAGATCGTTTCGTTATGTTGAAATGAACGCACTTATAAACGCATTAATATTGTCCACACAAAAATGCATGCTATGCTATTGAACTCCTTTACATCCGGGAACTGTTTGCACTTTTTCCCAGTATGCTATCGTGCGTGGATTGTTGCAACCATTTGGGCCACCAGCCAGTTCTCGAGCATACCCTTCACAATTTAGAAAACAGCTAAAGTTTGCGGCGTAGCGATTCATATAAACTTGAACGCAATGAGATGCACAGTGTAAATCATTCGCACATGTTCGCCAATCTGAAATTAAATCACCAATATATAACCATTTTAATTTATTACACGTTTTTCGATTATATATCGGACGCTTTATATTATTACAAAAATAAATAAATAGTACTTAAATATAAAAAGATACAAGTAAAATGAAAAAAAAAAACGTTTAAGAAAACTGAACTAAAAGAGCTAATAGTATATATACATGGACATTTCTCTCAACCACAATGACAACAAGTTATAAAAATATAATGTCCAAGTTATTAGTCATAAATATGTTTTTACTGAGGCAATGTATTTCAGGTTCGTAGTGAAAACGTAAATATAATGTACACAAATGATCAATAAAAAATAATAGCACTATTTAGGCTTTTATATACATTTGTATTAAAGGGGATTGATCTACAAGGAGCACATTTTCCATAAGTTTTTGAAATACTGATAAAACAATAGAAATGTATAATTTTAATAGAATATGTCTTGAAAATAAATGTTGATAGAGTTTTAAGCGATTTAGTAAGAACATTTATATTAAAATAAAAATATTTTGTCCTAGGACAATTTACGATCGTCTGTATATGGATACGATATGTGACATATCTGATGATACATCTAACAATTATGAACAACATCCATAATTAAAAAATATGTATAATTATTTCATGGTTTGTTGTCATATATAACACTAAATACAAGTACTACCATCATAGTTATTTATAGTATATGACAGACCTTCCATTGCGGACCAATTCACTTTAATTATATACCATTTCGTTTATTGGCAAACTGGCATTTCAATTTTTTTGAAATACCATTCTTTCATATTTAAAAGGTTTAAGCAATTTAAAAAATGCACCTCCACCCGGCTCATAACAATCAATCCAAAAGGCATTTGTGAATCGGAAGAACCCACAGCCTAATGTGCCTGCTACCATCACACACCCGATCGGCCGACAGTCGGATCTTTCCTATAAATAAAAATTAACAAAACTTATACATCATTTTTAAATGTGTTTGAAGTTATGGAGCAGTATTTTAACTTTAGTAATTTTTATCAATATTAATATATCTATCTGCTTGTGGTGAGGTCAATTCTAACACTTGAAATTTACAGGTATACGCTTTAAAGTCATATTACATTCACATTTAAGACGGGAAGAAAACGAGCATTAAATAACTCATTAAGATATATCGTTCTTTAAATGATACCAAAACTGGTATAAAATATTTCAGACTATAGATCTAGTAGTCGGTCAGGTTTATGCGAAGAAAAAAAACCAACAGTTTCTTGTGCCAAGCTTACTCACTGAATAACTTAATAACGTTTTTTTTTATATATAATAATATGCTAACTTCATTTGTTCATTTGAATAATAATGAATAATAACTAGTTCATACTAGACACAGACAGCGCAGACAGTCGATTGATACTTGTCCTCCTGCAAGACTTTGATTGTTTGACTCGCTTTCTGAAAACATTAAAATCAATTTTGACTTCGCTCTGCCTCCCTTGCACTTAATTTGCATATAATTCTCATAAATGAACTATAACACATATACATATTAGTCATAGTCATATGCTTAGATTTGTTTTAGAAACTAATTTATCGTTATATTCACGATTATTTAGTTTAGTATTTGTTACGTTGCATACAATTAACATCCGAGAAAAGGTCAAAAATCGTCCATCTATATCATACAGTTAAGTGTGTATTTAATACCATTGAATAACAAAGTATTTATAAACTTCCTGTTTACTACGTAAAAAATGAACCATGCAATTAACTTGATTTCTTAAACCGATAAACCATGTAAACGCTAATTTCTGTTCAACACAGTTTTACAAAAAAAGTTTAAAAAAAAGAGAGGATAAATAAACGTTTATAACATGAATTAAGGGGTAAATGTTTTATAATTATTTAGACATCAAAGCCAAGAGCGCATCAAAATGTTATGATTTATGACACGCAAAACGCAATACAAATTAATGAAAAATAACATTTAAAATTCTAGCTTTTCTAGTGTACAAAGCAAAATCAATGCTGCAATCGTGTTTGATATTTTTCCAAAAGAATACACGAGGACTGTCCGCCTACTTATACAAGGCATACACCAATTAAGAGAAAAAAGAAAGAAAGGAAAGAAATATGGTTTTAAAGAAATTGTATCAAAAGCAAATGGCAGGTTACACGCGAATAAAACTCTACTTATATACTTATTCTGTTTACGTTTAATATTCAGGTGTGTTAAATAATATAGACATTCTATTCTCTTTCGAAAATTCACCTTAAGATTATGGAAACAAAATAATTTGACTATTGATAAATTTCATAAAAATATATCATAACATGTAGCATTACATACCTTTTGAAATGATTTAAATAATATACATGTACATGTATATATGGGTCATTTCAGAAAAGCTAGACTACTTGTAAGTTAATAGAGACATGCAAGTTGTTTTCGGACAACTTCATACAAAGCCAATAATTGTGAATATGGTTCGATTAGTCTATTTACATACAAACCAATATGTTTTACAAGAATTAAGCAACCCAATCAGGCTAATTAAGATTAACAATTAAAAGTTTCGAAATCAGTGATTACAAAGGTTAACAAAAATAGAGCAAAATTCAAAGATAACTTTAACAGCAGAGTATTCACCGTGAGTCCGTCTTTTCATTTATTGATAATTGATAATAACTAATAATTTAATGTGATAATAAATATTTGTTTTCATCCTTACCTGTTTTCTGATCAGATGGATTAGCATTGTTTACAACATTGTCTATATTTGTTGATTCCTTTATCACCTGATTAACTTCTAAACTTAAACAAATCACCGTGTATACACTACAGATTATATAACACAAATACCATAAAGCTTGTATTCCGACCATCATTATTTCATATATACCAAAGTACAAGCTAAAATCATATTTTGAAGTGAGTTAAACAAGGAAATTTTGCTCAAGTGTTTCATTGAGACAGACTTCAAAATATATTTATGACGCGGAAGTTTTAAACGTTAGTTTTCACACACAGTGTGCATATATGAAATAGTTTACAATATTATTGACCCGTGTTTGTAGATAGTAAATATAAATAACCTTTAAATGAAAATAAATAAATCATTGGCGTTTATGTTTTGCTGTAAAATAAACATGATATGTAAATATGTATTATTATTTCCGGCGAATACGGAGGATTGTACGTTCGGCTGTTCGCCCGTTCGTCTTTCAGTTACGGGATTGAATAGAGCTGTTTTGTAAATTTCTAGATCTATCACCCTTTGCAATTTTTTATACTTTCATTTATTTTAATTGGGCATAACTTAAAAGGTACAGCAGGCTTTTACTTGAAACTTTATAGTCATTGATAGATTAAACATGGGCAAAGCGCATCGTCTTAGAACCAGAATCTATTTTGCATGTTTTTGGAGTTATAACCCTTTGTATTTTTCATACATGGTATTAGTGATTAAGTATGGAGATATCAAATTCCACAGCTTTATTTATCTAATATTTTGATAAGCACACTGTTTTAATTGGGACCATCACTTTCTTAATTTCTTATTGCTCTTTGTAATTTTTCTCGGATCAAAGAATATATTAGAGATATCAACTTGAAACTTCATAAATTTATAGATATCATTAACGGGAACTACATTGTCCAAGAAACATAATTTAAGCGTCCGTTTATTATTTAAAGTAACTAAACACGATCCCTCGGTCAAATAACAAATTCGCACATTTTTGAATCTCGGATAAATAAGTTAAACATATCTAAAATCATATTATGAAGTGCAATAAATTACAAACTATTAACATGTGAAATACAAGCGGACATACAAAACACGTCTCGTATACGTGAACTAACGCCAAAGAAAGAAACAAGCAAAACATTAACCATTGCAGAAATGAAATCCCCATCCTCCAAATAAATTTTAACATTCCTGACCTATATAATATAAATGACCAATGTAATGCACATGGTATGATTATTCGCATTTCTAACTTATTTTTCATCTACGTATATGAAAACACGTATTTTAAAGCGTTAGTAAGCGTAGAAAATGTTTGCTCTATAATACCAAAACATGTGTTAGAATAATGAAACATTTCCTGCTCCATTAAGTCTTGTCTGACGTACTGTCTTGTTTCCTGTACTGGAACTGAATATTGCATGCGAGACTTTTTATGATATAATTTCAACGTAAAACGTATTATAAGCCAAGATTATGGGTTGTATGCCTTAAATATCAGCGTAATACCAAACTAAAGTTTGAGTTATAACAATGGTACGTTTGTTTTCAAATTGTAATGTGGAATATCTTTGTAGTATTTTAATTTAGACCATTTTTAACAATTCATCAAATCATAAACTGGTCGTCTTCAAAAGAGATATTTATTGAATATATTTGCATATGAGAATAAGCGTTTCTAATATGACTTATATAACATATTAAATACTTAAGATGTTATTTATGAAGTACAGAAATATACATGTCCACTAATATATAATTATCATTTCAGCAAGTCAAGGAAAGTCACAAGGATCCCTCTGAAATTGCCATTCAAATCTTATAACATTGACCTATTGATAGTGCCATCGATTAATCACAACATTCCTAAATGTGAGGAATGTATTAGTGTCACATCTTTCTTTTTGTGTCAAGGTCATTGTTACCTTTATCAATAAGGGACATGACCGATTTTGTCACCAAATCTCGTCACTGTAGGATTCTCTGTTAGGTATCAGACAGTTTGGTCTACCAACTGACCATTCCACATTGCAAAGCAATATACTTATCTTTAAAGACGGCATAACTGAAGAAGGTATAATTATAGATTGACAAAAACAAACAAAAATTTAAGTTTTATTGTATAATTTATAACTTATAAGGAAGATATCACATTCATGCACAAAATAATTTCTATGTAAATATACATATACAGACTTAATGTAGACATCAACAACAAGTATCACATTTAAAAAATATAAAACATAAACTGCATGTGTAACAGAACAGGGGGCCGTCTTATCAACGATCGTACGATTTTGGAAATCTTAGCGTACGATTTTGATCTACGATTGTCGTACGCTCGATCGTAAGACTGTCTTATCAACGCGGTCGTACGTTCAACCTAAAATCTTACAATTTTCATAAGCGTACGATTCTTACGCCTGCGCACTAACACGTACTCTTTAAAAAAGGAGGTAACGCGCATTTTAATGTCAAACTGGAAATACGATGTCTGCTACAATTCAGCGATGTCTGACAAGGCAAGAAAAGTTAACTGGACAACTCAAGAGCGTGATATGCTCATTAGCAAGTGTGAAACTGCTGATGTAGCCACCGGCAAGTTTTCACAGACAATTACAGCCGCGGACAAAGCCCGTTTTTGGGCGGATGTAGTGGAAAGGTAACCAGCAATGTTTATTAATAGATCATTTACGATATTTACATGTATATTTACATAAATTGTACTTGCAAAACTTTACATATCGCTTTAAAACATCTAAAAGGCTTAAATTACAGCCGTGGTCTGTAGCGGTACTGATTCAATGTCACTCGATCTACTCTCGGATTAGATCTATTTCACAATATACAAAGAATGAAATATCTGATATATACATGTATTTAACTACTTTGACCCATATTTTATGTTATTTCTTTCATTCATTTTTCAGCAAATTTTACAAATTTTTGACATAAAATAAATTCGACCAATTGCCACTTTCTATAAGTTGACCAATTCTATAAAATACACTGGTTTGGATTATTATAGTATAAAATTAACACTGGCCACGGTGAAGTTGTTAGTTAGGGTAATGAATCATGCCACTCATTGTCACATTTGTATATTTAATACTTCTGGGGCTCTGTTTTTCTGCATCCAACAATTTTGAATCTGTTAAATCACATGTATGATTGTTAATCATTTTACAGGTTCCTAAATCAATATCAAAACATTATATATATTTAACACATGTTTGACATTTCTAAATAATTAACAAATATGCATAATGTGCCTTTACGTTATCAATCGTCTTTCTAATCGTTCTTAACTTTTTTTGTATTTGCAAATAAATAGTGTACACTTGTCACTTATAACTTTTCATGTTTCCCTTATCCTTAAATATATACTATGTATATGCTTATCCTTAAGTATAATATTTTAATCACAGAAAATTATTGAAATCAATGAAATATTTACTGAATGAATAAAATAATGAATGAAGTATGTATGGGAAGCTGTGTTCCCCTAAACAGGACAAGTGAAGTTGGTCTTTTAAAAAAAAAAACTTTTTAATGGTTCTTAATATTTACATTGTGACCACCTATAACATGAAGAATTTTAAATATAACTTATCTACTTTGTGTGAAGTCAGAATGTGCTTGTTATATATCTATATATATATGTATATATTACATATATGTAGCAGTTATCAATATTTTCTAATGTCAAATTTAAGCATATGTTATATATCTTTAAGTTTGATTTATTTCAGTGTGAACAGTGTAAGCGGGTGTTCAAGGACGCTTGAACAAGTCAAAAAGAAATGGATTGACTTAAAGGTTTGTATTTTAATGCTAAAATTTCTTTTAAATTTATTTAACTATCATGTTTTTTTTTAAATAACATGTGAAAATAATTCTAAATAAAGAGTAAAATCTGATAATTTGTAATTTGCCAAAAATAGATCTTTTACCAAAATAAAGTATTTTGAAAGTCAACCTTTCTCTCAGCATTTTTTTCAACACCCACAATTCATTCATTGCATGATATTTTGACCCTAATTTGTAAAAGATGTAGATGTTTCAAAATTGTTTATGTTCATGCTGTAATCAATTTTTTTAACATACAGCACATTTATAAGTAACAAGTCATTTCATATTAAAGGGTAACATGTACCTTTTTGCTGTAAAAGCAGGAATTATTTTTCACCCGTCTACCTGTAAATACTCTGCCCTTCTACATATTTTCATGAAGTGATGTCTTTATATTACATCACAAGAACAAGAAGGTGAGATTAGGTGTTGACAGTTTCTAGATACTTTTAGTTTCTGCATTCATTACAGACACAAATGGAATTTTATTTAAGGCTAATACATATGATTGATTATCTTTTCAGTCACAAACCAAGAAGAAAACTATACAGTATATTGCGGAAACCAGAAAAACAGGTGGTGGCCCAGCCCCTATCTTAGACCTGAAGGCATGGGAGAGCAAGGTATCAATAGATTTAATAGTTAGTATGGTCTAACCATCATAGAAAAAAAATAGACATTGTCTGAAGATACATATTAAACTGTTTTTCCAGCTTTTAAATTACTTCCCATTGCAAATTTCCTCCCAATAATTGCATTTTTTTCTGCAACACTGTTCTGACATTGACATTGACAGTTTCTTAAGATCAACATTGTCTTATATACAAATATCTCCAGGGCCTTTTTCCCTTCTATAACAGGGGCCGGTATAGGGCTGCTTCCCCATTAAAAAATTCTTTAAAATCATGCAGTTTTCCCCAAAAATTGAATTTACATCAAGTTTTTTCTTCCCCTTTTGCAAATATACCTTATAATTTTTCCCCTAAAATAAGGGCTGGGCTACTTCCCCAATCTGTGAAAAAAAGCCCTGATCTCATATGTAAAGTTTATTAATAGACTAAGTTGAAGATGTATGATAGAAAATTGTTGTAGAATGGCTAGTATGGAAATATTTTTCCCTATAATTTATATGTGATCTGTTTAGTCCTTTCCCCATATTTTTTCTTTAATAAATGTTACATACAAACAAATATCATCATCATTGCTTTTTGAAAAACGTAATGACCACTTAAAAAGTATCCTGCATATATTTTTTGTTTCTGAAACAAGTGAAGCTATAAACTTACTTTTTTAACTTAAGATTATATGTAAAAGGTTACACACCAGTTTATCATTTCAAATCTCCTGACTTTTCACTAATTTTCTATATACATGGCTATTTCTACACAGATTCTACAGACAATACCCACCTGCAGTGTAGAAGGGATAGAAAATGGTGCAGACACCTTTCTTGGTAAAGTTTTGTATTGCACTTATAACTACATGTAGAATGATACTGTGATCATGTCATTAAGTGTGAATGAATTTCATGATGAATGACCAATTTTACTTAAAATAAATTATAAGTGAAGCACAATAACTTAATCCAAACATCTTAACAGTATTAAATGAATAGACTATTTTAAGAAAATTAAGACATTTGTTCCCAAGTTAACATAGAATAAATAAAATTAATTATGATAAACATAGATTGAATTCTTCACACTTTCACTTCTGTTACTGATATATAGAGGATATTTGTTTGTTTTGCATGTAAGATTGAAATATAATTTCACTGAGTGAACACCAGATGCAATCCTATCACCAATTTTGAAATATAGTCCTGTTAAATTTCTCTAATTTTGTTACATTTTTAACATGATGTATGGTGACATCGACTTTCTTTTCCTTAAGAAGCAAAATTACGCATGCCAGCATTTATCTCTGCCTGTCATTCCATTTAGTTACGATTCTCTTTTCATCCGCATTCAGATATAGTCCGGCTACAGTGAAAATTATATTTTATAAATTTCACTAGTGGTTTATCAGAATATAATCATCTATATATTACAATAAAACACTGGAAAGCATGAAATAAAACTGTATAATGTATTCCATTTTCAGAAAATAATGATCCTGGCCTTACAATCCCAGACTTTTCCTGTTGGAAGTGAGACAAACTGAAAGTACATGTATATAAATTTTATTGTTGTGAGCATGTTGATAATACATTTGAGCCGTGTCATGACAAAACCAACATAATGGGTTTGCGACCAGCATGGATCCAGACCAGCCTGCGCATTCGCGCAGTTTGATCAGGATCCATGCTGTTCGCTATCAGTTTCTCTACTTGTAATAGGGTTTGTAAGCGAACAGCATGGATCCTGATCAGACTGCGCGGATGCGCAGGCTGGTCTGGATCCATGCTGGTCGCAAACCCATTATGTTGGTTTTGTCATGACACGCCTCATTTATTATAATTTGTTAGGAAATTTCATTATTTTCAATGTTACAGTAATTATCAAGTTTCCAAATATCCTTAATTGACAAAAGCTAATTACTCAAAATTAGTTTAATATTTCCTCTTTCATTGGTCAAGCAGTCAATGTTTTCAGTCATGAATGCTATTATGTATATTGGAATTTATTATGGATGATAGTAGATTAGTGTATCTGTTTTTCTGTGATTTAACATTATAATGTTACATAAACTAAGCTGTCATTTCCTAGAATAGGTATCTAGGTAGATGTATACATATTTATATACATGTAAGGTATACAGTCATGAGCAGAAATATACAATTAGAAAAGACACACAAATATTGTGAATTATGCAGCAATCCATAGACTACATAATTTTACATACCAGAAGGCTACATAATTATACCAGAAGGTTAGATACTTAAGATTCACATTTATTAGTTAGCATGTCACATTGTGCAGGTTATGGACATGTGACTTGTACTTTAAGTTATGTAATAACTAATACAGGCTTCTTTTTTTAGCTTTGGGAAGAAAGGAAATTTTGCAGGATAAAGGATTTGAAGGTAAGAATAACATAACTTAACTTTACATAATGTTTATTCAGCAATTTAACAAAGTACATAATGTCTTATCAATAATATATGAGCCGCGTCACGACAAAACCAACATAATGGGTTTGCGACCAGCATGGATCCAGACCAGCCTGCGCATCCGCGCAGTCTGATCAGGATCCATGCTGTTCGCTATCAGTTTCTCTACTTATTATAGAGTTTGTAAGCGAACAGCATGGATCCTGATCAGACTGCACGGATGCGCAGGCTGGTCTGGATCCATGCTGGTCGCAAACCCATTATGTTGGTTTTGTCGTGACACGGCTCATATGTTGACATGTATTGTTGAAATTATTTATAGTCACACCATGTCACTTTTTATAAAATGATAGGATTGTTGCATTTTATTTAACTGAGGTTAAGTGTGCCAAAAACTTAAAAAGAAAAGCTTTCTAAAATCTTCTGGAAACTTGTATACATATATATTTATGAAAAAATACCTTCATTAACATAAACAACTGTCGTTTTATTTCTTATTCAAGCTGGAAATAATTCAATAATACTCATGCACATTAAATTGTAGGTGATAATGAGCCAGTGCCAAAGAAGGCAAAATATGACAGTAAGTATTATTATGTTATAGTATTACTCCAATTCTATTATTATTCATTTATTAACTTGCATGATTCAACATACTAGTGATTGCGAACTGAGGCCTTGAAAAGCATGCACTTGAGTAGAACCACAGATCACCCATAAGATATAGATACGTGTAGCTTCCACAAAAGGAAAAAAACCAAAGTCTCTGTTGGGTTTTAAACACACAGCCAAGTGGGGCAGGTGATGTGAAGAAAACAACCTTAACTACTCATACACAAAAACCCCCATAACTTGATTTGAGGCATTATTAGTACATTGAAATACAGTACTTGCACATTGAATCAGAATATAAACTATTTATATAATGCAGTGTGTTTTGTAAGTAATTTCTTGTAACTTAAATGCACTTTTTGCAAATTGACCATATCTAAACTTGTTCCACTAAGTATGTACATAAAAATTGTACATACATCAATCTTTTAGACTGAGTTATTTTGATTTCATTTTTCAGAGAAAACAGAGGATGACATATATCAACTTGTTGAACAACAGACTGCAATTATGACAGAATTGAATTCAACATTAAAAACATTAAATCAGTCTTTAGATGGCATAAAAAACGATAAGACAAACTTATTTAAAATTCTAACACGACATGTATGTTTCCCTTATGAACTCAGAAGAACCGAAATTGTGTGTTATAATGGTCATAAAATCAATGTTGACATTCTTAATTTGGACATTTGATGAAACCATTAAAAATTTTACGAGCTGAATATTAATATGGAAACTTTACAGGCACAAGTTAGCTTAATATCGGATACTGCAGCATTTATTAGTTGACATGTGTTAGGATTGAAATAATATATCTCAATCAGTAAATTTAACCATTGATAAATTAAAATCAATGTTTGTCCTTCAGATGTGCAGCATCATATCAATTGGGCTTTGCCCCCGTGATGTAATTTCTTACATCTGGACTCCAAACAGTGATTTTATTTAGCACTAAAATCAAAATTTAGGATATATTATTTCTTAATCATTAATTTATAGTCATTGTAAAATTTTAATTTAAGCACCCACCCTCCCTAACATAGTGTTGGTGTCTATTTTTATCAGGAAACACTTCTGTCCTATCTGTATTTTGAATTGTTTTAACCATGTTTGTTTTGAAGTAACAGTTGAGCAATTATGATAGTCCTTTTTAAACTTAGAATTTTAGGCAATTTAGAATTTTTAACATAATTGCCTGTAATATAGAATGATTTAAAAGCTATAAAAGACATCAACATGAAACTTGTTATACTGTTAGTTAAAAAAGAATTTTGACAGGTTATATTACCCCATTTAAATGGTTGTTTGCTTATATAACGGTGAGGGTTATAATTTGCAAACAAATTCTTTTAAATGGCCATATAACTTATCAGAAATCTTTGTAACAAAGTCATAATACAGCAAACAACATTTTTAGAGGGGAAAAAATTCTTCAATCATAAATTTAAACATCATTGTATTCCAATGAAAAATGGTGTTAAAAAATGTGCAGTATTTGAATTATTAATATTTAACAGGTATAGTTGTAAGACAAGGGGATATTTCTGAAAGCTATATTTTTAGTAGTTATTTTTCACAATGATTCAATGAATTAATGTATTTCATGAAATCACAAATTAATATTCAACATATTAACTGAATAGCTTTCACATGTATAGTTTACTTATATTATTTAATATTACTACTTAACCCCTTTAATGTTTATTATTCATTACAAATATAATTTTTTCTTATCAAAGGTATCATTGACTCTGACAATAAGTTAACTACTGTACTGTGCTAATTTTGGTTTATGTGAAATACAAAGAAATTCTTTTAAGTAATACATGGGTGCTTAATTGAGATCAAAACATAGATTTAATTGTTTTAATTGAGTGAAATGTTATATTTCAAGTGACCAGAACAAGTAATTATATTTTAATTTCTATGTCTTAAAAACATTTCTTCAGAATAAATTAATTAATTCCTGTCTAATGTTATTATTACTTCTGTCATCTCCATTTGGTAAATTATTATCATCATCATCATCCTGTGTGATGATCTCCACAGGCTCTTGTACTCCTCTAGTTTTACAAAAGTTATGTAGCCTCATACATGCTACCACAACTTGGCTGCTCTTTTCTGGTGAAAACGGTAGAACACCACCACTTTTGTGTAGGCATCTGCAATAAAGGCATAAATATATGAGCCGCGTCATGACATAACCAACATAATGGGTTTGAGACCAGCAGGGATCCAGTCCAGAGCGCAGTCTGATCAGGATCCATGCTGTTCGCTTACAGTTTTTCTACTTGTTATAGGGTTTGTAAACGAACAGCATGGATCCTGATCAGACTGCGCTCTGGATCCATGCTGGTCGCAAACCCATTATGCTGGTTTTGTCGTGACGCGGCTCATGTATATTATTTGTTTCATGTGGTATGTCATTACTTCAGTGGCATGACATTTTCACAAAAATAGGGCCAGAAGTAGAGATCAAAGTTGGGACAGCATCATTTAAACATCTTGTAAATTCATTATCAATACAGGTCATATAGTGAAACACATTATGATAAAATGGATCAATACAATTTGGCGGCGTGGCCGAGTGGTTAACGCGTCGGACTATTAATCTAAGGATTGCTGACCACGTGGGTTCAAATCCTGTCAGGGCCACGCCGTTGTTTCCTTGAGCAAGAAACTTTTACATTCATTGCTTAGTACTGGTTGGTTCCAGGAACGGATTCGAGAGTGTTTCAATAAGCTTATAGCTTCCAACACAATCGAACTAAAATAAATTTGTATAAACTAAACTAATACAATAATTACTTTGAATGCTTTGCAATATTTTACCTGAAACGTGACTTCAGTATACCAAAGGCTTTTTCTACCACCATTCTGCCTCTGCTATGGTGTTTATTGAAGGCTTCCTCTTGTGGTGTTGTCGATTCACCTTTGGGGTCAATAGGTACATGTACCTCCTTAGAGGGTACCCACTATCCCCCAATAACAATCCATTATTACTTTGTTCTAAATGTGTCTGAAAAATGATAGGTTATCATAAAGCAGTTATTTTCAGATGACATATAGTTTTCTTTAGAAAATTCACAAAAGCTAGATAAAATCAGAAAGAAATATTTTTTTTAAATACTTACAAAATTGATAAATCTTAATTTGGGCATCATTTTTATTGATATGATGGTTACTCCCTATGGGTCACCACATTTTGGCTTCTTCACTAAATAAAACACTAAAATATACAAAGGGAGAAAAAAATCATGAATAAAAATGAATGGCACACTATTCTTCCCAGAACCATAAGTTGCACATAGATGCATGAACAAAGGATCTTTTCAGAATTTTATGTACAATCATTTAGAATCTAATAGGGACTGTAAAAAGTGTAAAGTTTGCAGAATATATAATACATAGATTTATCATATGAAAAACACACGAAAGTTCACATATATTTTACATAATTATGAAAACTTATTCATATAAAAACATGTGATAACCATGAGTTCAACAATATGCTTGTTGACACATGCTTTTCACATGGTCCTGTTTACATATGTTAATCTTTCATATGAAAAACACATGTTTTTAAACACATGTTTTTCAAAACACATGAAACACATATGTTTAACATATGGGGTACCAAACATACAGCAAACATCTGGTGCATATTTACCTGTGATATACAGGATTGCCTTAGTTTTTTTCAAATAATATATCTAGTAAAAATAGATAAAATTTTGCACAGATTTGTATTGAGCAATAGACTACTGTGTATGAATGTAATCACGAGAATATCAATGGATGCTAATTGACGAAGTGTCTCAGAAATTAAATTGAATTAGATTTCAATATAACCCCGTCCTATTATAGAATTTATTATAAGTAAGTAAAATTACTTGTATATGTGTACAGCTCCACATACTCACCTAATATTCTTTAATCGAAGGTTTACACTTCGTATGAATTGGTGAATGTAAATGGCAGCTCTGGCTTTAGACACCCCGTGGAGGTCTCCAACTTCTGATATGAAATCGCCTTTTGCGAGGTATCAAAGTCCAATAAGAACCTGCAATGAAAGAAAGTCGAAAATTGCTTCATGGATGTGCTTGAAATAAAATTACTTTGATAAAAATATATCTAGATCTTATATGATTTTTACGGTGGCACAAATGTGACATGTGTGTGTGTGTTTTTTTTTCTCGTGGCCACGAGATACTATGTCGTAGCCACGAGTTACTAAGTCGTGGCCACGAGATAGCTAAGTCGTGGCCACGAGATACTATGTCATGGCCACGAGATAGCTAAGTCGTGGCCACGTGATAAATAACCAATCAGATTACACCATTTATGTTACTTTCCCCAATTAACTAGACATGTGCTGTAGTACAAGGATACCCCTACTTCACCAGCCTGTAAAAGTGCAATTTATACAACTTATTGACTTGTCGCTAATTTTACATTTAGCGTCACTGTGACTTAGTAACTCATGGCCACGACATAGTATCTCGTGACCACGACATAATATCTCGTGACCACGACATAATATCTCGTGGCCACGAGATAAATAAAAACACACACATGTAAAGAAAAAAAAAGAATACTAACAAGTGTTGGCTTTTATTATACATACCTAAAATATGACATTTCTATTCAATGGGCTGTGAAACTCAGAACTTATTAGCAATCATGTAAAGAAATTATTCTTACCTGCTAGTGCTATACTTATGATAAGCTTTAATATTAGACGACATGGACGAGTGCTATGACCTATGTCATAAATTATTAATCCTTTATCGTTTATTACTGATTTCTCGTAACTTCAGCAACTGTTGATATTGCCAGCCATTAAATGTAAAATGAACAGTGTTTCATAACAAAACACGTTTGCCCATTTTTACAGGTAATGAAACCGGTTTAAATAATCCTCCTATCATCCTCTGACTTACTTCACTAAGGCTATGCACTCCTTGTTTACGGATCCTAATATCTTCAAATTCAGCCAAATTCCTCTCCTCTGACGTATTAAGAATTATTGAATTTGTTAAATAACATCACTTTTCCTTTCTTTTTACAACGGCATTGTTATCAAAGCTCTAATCAAAGCCGTGTTATTGTGGATCTAAGTCTAATTTTTTTTTGTATGTACACATAACACAGCGCCATGTTTACCCATAATGCTTGGGCTAAAAATAAATCAAGGTTAAGGTCAAACTGCTTAGTAACGAATGTAAACACAATGCAGAGAGTAATAAATACAGTGAAACTTCGATACATTTACCTTCGTCATGCTGCAAATAGACTGCTATCTACCCGTTTTAGAGGAAAGATCAGCCCGACAGAGCTCCTCCAACTCTTTAATTGCTGCTTTATTCAGTCTGTATCGGGAAATGACTTCTCGATCGGTTAAATCATCAATATTAACCGTTCGTTGCCGAAAACAGCGTGATTTTCGTCGGCGGCGCTCGTTTACAAGTAGTAAGGCGGCCATTTTGTTTGATCTGCGACTGCTTCTCAGCGATCGCAGAAAAAATGCATGATCTTAGGATAATCGTACGATTATGAAAGTCTGCGACGTTTGATAAGACACCGCCAAAATCGTACGATCGACGTACGACAATCGTACGATAAAAACGGTCGTACGACCGTTGATAAGACGGGCCCCAGTTTTTTTTCTTTCAGGTTCTATTCCGATACTTCATATCATTCCTGGAGAATAAAACACTGACATATGAAATGCTTTGCTTAACCAAAAAAGAGAAAATGTTAAGTCCACTTCGCTTACAAATTTCGGGCTGATTTGTGAAATCACTGACTTGTGTGTTAAAATTAATTTGCTAAATCACTATTTTCTCATATACATGTATGCAGTTGCATAAGTCTATCATTCATATGAAAGTTTTGAATCTGTGTTTCTTTTATTATAATTTATTTATTATTTAGGTGGAACATATCATCTGCACAGTCTTTTGTTAATAAGGTAAGGTTTTGATGTTACTAAAGTTTGTGTGTTTAAGGGAAATGCTTTGGCAATGGATTCACCACCATACTCTCAATACATTCAAACACTGTATGAGGATCTTGGTCTGCATTGACATGCTGGGCATCAGTGTAAAAGTCTGCAATCTCCTCCACGTAGGCATGATATTGTGAAAGCCTCTTCCGTACCTCATCTTCTGTGTCAGATGGATGCTTGCAAAGCCTCTCTTTAACCTCCTGAGATTGTGGTGGGTTATAGAGATTGTGGTAGCGTTCGCCAGTGATGGGGTCCGTTTCTCGTAATGTAAGACGTTCCATAACAGAATCATTAGGTACATCAAGGAAGAAAACTCTGAAAATCAGAAACAAAATATATGTTATTTTAATGCTCATTTTATAAGTCATATGTCATTTTCAAAAGTCAAAAGATATAATGAAAGACACCAGATATATGCTAAATAAAACTTCCAATTTACACATTTTGATGCACAATAACAGAAATAGATTGAAACTTAAAATAACACATGCATTTTGTAATGTTTTTGTTTTTTCAAAACAGATCTAAACTTTGTGATACTAAAATATTTTAAGCAAGCTATCACTATAATGAATGGAATTCACAGTATAATAACAAAACAATAACAGACTTCCTGAATTCCAATGTATGAAAAAAAAAATACAATCAAATATTCTTTACAAAACAATCAGTGATTTTATATCTCAAATATAGTATTAAGGAAAAAGCCTACCTGTTAGGTAAAAATCCATCTTTAGTAAGAGTTTCTGCCTGTTCTCTTGTGCGGGGGAAACCATGAAGTACCCAACCTCTACTGACACAATCCAACTGTGCTAGACGTGCAGACAGTATAGTCATCACTATGTTGTCTGGTGCTGCAAGGAAGAAAAATAGATCATCTATACTGCTCATACATTATAGAGATGAGACATGTTAAATAATGGTGAGTATAATCATAATCAGTCAACATGCAATGTCTTTAGTGACTGCTGCAAAGTGTAATGCTAATGCTCAAATGAGTATTCTTTGAATAATCAAGCTTATCTGCTAATAAAGTGGGGATATAGAAAAAACTAAACTGAAAAAGTGATGCAGACATCCATGACTGGAATAGGATAGCTATACCTATTAATAGTTGAGCTAACAAAGCATCTGAAGGAGATGATCAAAGTATACATTTTTACATGTTTTTAAGACAGATAGGGGTGGGCATAAAGAAAATTTGTACAATAATTATTATATAAGATCATTAACTTTAAAATATCTGTTAAAGTTATAATTGTCCAATGGAATAAAATACGATACTTAATTACAAAACTGGTTGACAAATCACAGCAGAGAAAATGAATAGCTTATAAACCTCTCCTTAAATGTTTGTAAACAATGTCATTACCAAATACATCAGTAGGAAAGAAACGAAAAAATGTTTACCCATCATTCCCTTGTCAATATAAGCCTTGGCAGCCAGACCTTGTTTCGTCTCATCAGCTATAGCTTGCTTCATAAGGTTACCACAGGATACTGTAATATAACAACAAAATATCATTTATAACTTATATAAATATGTGCTTTCCTTATTCTATAGAAGTGTCAGAAGACCTTTAAATAATACAATATTTATACTAATGTCAGCAGTCCAACAGTAATGTATAGTCACTGCCTCAGCAGACATTTGTTTTTTTGTTGTTGTTTTTTTGTCAGACTGCTAAAATTCAGAAGCATATTACTACAGATACAAAACAGCCATTATGATACATGACTTTCAAAAGTTCTTGGTAGATTTTATTGAAAGTATTGCAATTTAAACTTTTCTCAATTGAATTTTATACCTCTATATTAGTAAGGTGCATTTTAATATAACATTGGATCTCATTGCATTAAATTAGCCTCCCTGTCAGCTTTAAAAATTGAATGGAGACAGCCTTTCACTTGGTCTTACTCTTAAATGTTTGCAGGTCTACTAATTTTTCACTACAATGATATGAGGCCTTTAATTTAGTGCTGTGTACTATTTCTTTAATAGTAAATGTGATAAAACACAAACTATCTTACCATTTACAATATTGTATTTATTTGCTAAGAGTGATGCCTGAACGCCTTTGCCCGAGCCTGTAGCTCCAAGTAATACAATCCTGGGTGTGTGAGGTGCATTCGAGCGTAGCTGGCTGCTCAAGAAGGTGTACACTGTCACATAAAAAAAAAATCTATTTATCTTAAGGAAATTTTTTGCTTAATAAGTTTATATGAACAAAGGTGAGATAATTTGTTATACTGCAAGTATTAATAAAGTTTATAAACAGCATTAATTCAGAAATAAAAACCATTAAAGATGAAAGCTTTATAAAACTAAAACAAAATGGATATACCCATTGACCTTCATATAATAAAATTTTATTATTACATTTTTATATTCATTTCACAAAAGATACTAAGATGAAAAACTAACACTCCATCTAGAGAAATAACACTGAGAGGTATTTAGATAGGCATATGAAATTTCAATGTCACCTTGAGAAAAGACATCAGCTTTAGGTTGATCAGCATTGACAGTTTTGGAGCATTTTTTGTAACAGTCATAAATGCCTTCAAAGTGTCTGTGGTACTCAATAAGTTTGTTGATCATATCTTCCTCCGTATAGCCTTCTACTTCCTTCAATCTATTCTGTATTTCTGGGTTACTAGGCCAGTCAAATGTTGTGTGGAAGATATCTGTCAATATAAGATTTACATATCTGACACACATTAAATAAACAGGAACAAAATACTGATTATTAGATTATGATTACTTTGATACAACTTTCAGCCAAAAAATGTCTGAAATCAACTTTGATATTGCAATTTAGTTACACAAATAATTTTCAAGAATGTTTGAATTTTTTTGGTTGATATTTTTGTATTGTTTATAAAATTGACCAGACATATTCATATTACTTTTTAAAAAGTTTACCTCCATTTGTAGGATCAACCCTCTTTCCTTGAGCTCTCTCAATCAGTACAGTATCAGGAGAGTCTAGTATCACTAAAATATATAAACATACAGTCAAAACAACATTACATATTATAACCTGGGAATATCAACTTATACACATTATTTACATATATCATTATCTAATTTCTTTATATGATGAGAGCTCCTAATGGAGCATTAATTGTTTCATTATCAGATTTATTTGTAGTTATACATTGTAATTATGTCAATACATATGTCAGAAAATTCATTACTAATAAAACTAGAACTATCACTAAATGTGATTAATACCCCCACAAGACTGCTTCGGAAATGAGGATGTTACTAGTAACTAGTCACTCCGGGTGACTCCTATATACCCCCCAAAACTTCGTTTCGGGGGTATAATTAACAAAAACAAACTTGTAATATATGTTAATTTGAAGTCTCTGAATAATTGTAACAATGACTTTATTATGCAGGAATTTATTCTCTCTGATCATAACCAAAATATACATTGTTAGATACTTACTATTTTCATAATATTTGTTTAATAATGACAATTCCAGTTCCAATTTAATGCAAAGCAAATTCATAATAGATAAAATATTTACCACAATGTTTTGGAAAGATGCCAATTGCTTGTAGTGCTTGGGCCTGTTCCCTAGTTTGTGGAAATCCTTCCATTACCCAACCTTTCTTTACACAATCAAATAACTTCATACGTTCTTCCAAAATCTTAACCCAAAGTTCTGTGGGTAGAGTCTGAAATCAAATGAAATTTCTAGTTTAAATGAAAACTAACTAGGCTATTAAGTCATCTTGAATTGAAAAGTTTGTTGAGACATTCATATTTTTATTTTTTACATTACCTCATTAAGTGACAAGTAGTTGCTCAATTTTTTCATGTAAATATACCATCATTGTAATTTCATCTTCAGATTATCATACTATTTTCTCATATTAAAATTGACTCCATATAATATACATATAACCACTTATTCATGCCTTGATTGCTCATGACATGAATTTCAATAATAAAATAATTGAATGAAATGAACATTTATTTCAGAAAGCAAGGTGACAAATACCTGATTCTTTTTAATGAAAGCTTGGGCTTCAGATTTGATATCTGTTTCAGCCTCTGATACAAGATTGTCAGGTGTAAGGTGAGCAGTACGTAGCTTATTGGATACCATTTTGGATATTGTCCTCTTACCAGAAGCTGGTGGTCCAAGAATAACAATTTGTGGCACTGGAAAAATAATATATATAATACTATACAACAGTGGTACTGGAAAAATAATACATATGATTTTAGCATTTCTGCTTTAACAATTCAAACTATATGTTTCCAGCAATGCATAGTCCTTAGCATGCAAATATCAAATTTTGATTCATTTTTTATTGACAGCTCTCTAATCCTTACCCCACTTATTATCTTAAATGGACTTCACTTGGCAAATTTTCAATTTGGACAAGACCATTCATCATTTAAGGGAAAATTTAAGTACACCAGTACACCAGTGCATGTCATGATCAGATAAATTGGATGTGCTGGCTGATCTATCTTAGTCTTCACTGTTGGCCTTGTTACATTCTGTAGCCTCAAGCAGACTAAGGGGTAAAAATAAGCTTAAACATCTTCATAATATTAATAACCGTATTAAGGTATATTTATCATATTTAAAAATATCAATACAAATGAATCAGAAAATAGATCAATAGACCAAATGTAACAGGATGAGAAAAATGTGCAACCTGACTGGGACTCAAACCGAGGACCCTCAGAATACTGTTTCTAGACTCTACTGACTGAGCTATCACTTTCTCCCTAAATAGTGAACATTTCTAAACCATGACATAAAGATTCACCCATTTCCATTCAAATAAGTTTTAAATGAAGTTTAAATGAAGAAATAATTCAGATAAAATCAACAAGAAATGCACTTCATAAGTGCATGATGTGATATAATGTAAGGTTAAGAAAAACTACAAAATGTACTTACCATCATTGTTGTCTCGTTTCAGCATATCTATCATAAATGCTATTGGATTAGGTGGTTTGTTAATAATAACCTGCTCCAACAGCCTCTGAAAAATATTTTTAGATTATAGAAAATATTTATGTCACAGGGTGAGAAAAATGTGTAACCTGATTAATTGTGACTTGAACCATGGACTCTAGATGGAATACAGCACTACTGACTTAAGGCTATTTGACTGTTTTAATGAGTGTACAGTTCTGTATCATTCTATATCATATTCCCTTTCTATATGTATATTCAATTAATGTTAAACCCCTCGGGGGAGATTGACACGTCAATGCTCAAAATTCTTATGGGAACAGAGAAAATGTGAATTGACTCTCAGTTGAACACTATTACAGCCTTACAAATAGTTCAACTAATTGTACTACTTGATGAGTTATTGTGTTTTTTGTGAATAATGGGCAATATCTCCCCTCTAGAAGAAGCGAGATTCTGACCCAGACTCTGATACAGTTCGTAGCTACATATGGCACGTCAATATGGTTGCAGCCCCATTATACATTCTGTGAATAATTTGAATCAACTTAAACATATTCATGAATACATTCCTAAAATGTAAATGAGTTCAACCCCGACAAATGTGAAGTTCTCAGGATAACAAGAAAAAGAAATCCTGTAATATTTCCTTATACCCTCCATAACATCCAATTAAACTCAATTCAAGAAGCGATATACTTAGGAGTCACTATTAGTCGATCAAGACCTTTCATGGACCAAACATATAAACAACATTACATCTAAAGCAAATAACTCCCTCAGTCAGATTCATTAGAAGAAATGTTAAAACCCCAAATAAAAAGATAAAGGAAACTGCATATAAGACCTACGTTAGACCTCAGGTTGAATATTGCTCCATAGTTTGGCATCCTTGGCAGAAATACTTCAAATCAAATCAAATCAAAATTTATTTCTTGTCGGTATACATATATAACATTTTACAAAACATAAGCTATGTATAGCTTTTGACCTAATTTATAAGCTTTTGACTTTTAAAATTTATAACATAGAGCAAGTACATGTACAAAGATCAGCTGCTAGATATATTTTTAATGATTATGACTTTACAAGTAGTGTCTCAAAAATGATAAATGATCTTAATTGGCAAACCCTTGAACAGCATCGAAACATCAGTGCTGTAACCTACTTGTATAAAATCCAAAACAACATTGTTTTTGTTGACCACCAACACCTTACTCAAAAACATGAAATCTGAACTACCTGATACCCTACTCAAGGACACAATATCATCAAAATTCTTTCTTTCCTAGGAGCATACATCTTTGGAATAGCCTTCCTCTAACGGTTCAGTCTAGCCCAAGTTTAAACATCTTTACTGAGAGGCTTGACCCATTCTATAAATTCTAAATTGCACACTATGTCTTTTAAATTAATAGTCTTGCAGAACTTTTATTCTTTTAACTTTTTAATTTGCATATAAATAATTTCTTTTATTAACAGTTCCCTGAAAACGCGCCTGCTAGTCATAATCAGAATTGATTGTTAAGCAGTATAATGTAGATGTAGATTTATGCAATAAAACTTTATCATAAAATTCAAACATATCACGAAAACATATGACAATTAAAAATGAATCCATTTATGTAAAGCTTTTACTAACTTTGTACAAATCAAATACTCCATGTTGCTCTGCGTATGTTGCAAATTCCGGCGGAATCAACAGTGGTCTTTTTGTTTGATCCATTTTTCGGATTTAAAAGGATAATTTATTAAACAGTTTATTCGGGTTGCTATGCAGGTGCGTTCTGTTGTAGTAGAACAATTTTGATTGGTCGATTTTTGTCATTGAAAATTTAATTGGTTGTTATCATAATAGGTTGTACACCGCTATTTTAGTGGTCAAAGGATAGACACGCATAATGAAATTCAAGGTATCTTTGCAAAATATAATAGAGTGAGCCTACTAAAGTATTATATAACGGTACATAAGAAAGCTGATGAAAAATGAAAATTACAGACGTCAAAAACCATAAGAATATTTATACCACAGCAATAATTTTAAGTGTATAGGCCTACTCAACATCACTAATTTCTATACATGTGATTATAGTGTTAAAATTGCTCAAAATTGACATATTTGAGTCATACACCTAAACTACAAAGTTTCTGTGCAAAATCTGAGTATACATATGAAATGTACATGTATATCTGATTTATAAAACTGAAACTTACCATGGTTAAAGAGTGGGATGATCAGAGGAAAATGTACCAAGCACTATACTACCACTATTCAATAGCCTTTTGATACCATCTCTCATTTGATACTTTTTTCCGGATCATTTTCTGTAAGCTGCAATAAGGTACATGTATTGCTTTAAAAGTTTCTCTATACTTCATCTCCTGGTGTTAGCTTTATAACCCTTCACAGCCATTGGCTACTATACTTTTAATGTTGAGGATTGAATTTATACTGCATTTAAAGCCGGTGCTCTAATAGGGATGTGATAGATGTTCCACTGTATGTTGCGATTTTTTATTCTTTAGAAGGGGAAAACATGAGTTTTTCAAATGTAGCACTGAAAGTCAACTGATTTGCAATAAAAGTAGCGAAGCGAAATATTAACAAATTTAAGTAGTGTTTTAACTTCCATACAAAATACTAAATCACTTTAACTGTACTAATTGCCAAAAATAAATAAATAAATAAATAAATAAATAAAATGAAAAAATGAGCAAAAATTGGTTTTCGGGAAATTTGGCAGTTAGTAACTTTTTGAAATTATCACATGGTACCAAGGATGAAAAGCTTTTAGGAAATAAAAATAAAAGCCTATCTTGGGCAAAATGGGCCAGTCATTTGAGATACAAAATGTTGGTTAAGTCATTCTTGGAATGAGAATCGAAAACTATTTCAACAATTTTAAGTTACCAGAAGTTGGTGAGATTGAGGTAAATTAAAATAGTCACAGATATGCATACATGTACATTTAATGCTGCACGAACTAGTGTAAAGATTAAATGGTGAACAAACTACGGATGATGATATTCTGTCATCAGTGATTAAAATCGGAGACATTTATTGCAGATTATAATATAAAGCTTCATGTTAAAATGTCTTATAATCTTTTCAGTTATTCATTTTGTGATGATGACAATATCAATACATGCTCGTATGATTCCAAAATGATTGACTTGGATAAAATAGAGAAAATAAGAATCCCTAAACAAAAGACCAACAAGGCAAAATTAAAAATGTTGCAGGCTCGGTTTCCATGAGCCTGTTCATGGACGGTACTGTCAAGTGCAAATAACCGTCCACACCCCCTAGCACCGACTTAAGCAGTATTCAACATTTAAACATGCAATTGTAAAATTTAGAATTTAGAAAAATTTGCAGATGTAGATGTAAAGTCGAAAATGAAATGATTTATCTTTTTTTTTGAAAATGAAGAAGGAAACAAAATATGTACATGTAGATGGCAATGATGAAGATTGTAATGATTATGATGATGAAAAGATTGTAGAAGCAGTTCAGATGGTATCAAAATTGATCTAAAAAGGAAATCCTGCAAGTCTGAAATTATTAATGCCTCAGGTTGGAGAGGTTCTTAACAAACCAAATGTGTATTTAAAAAAAATAACGATTTCTGATTTGAAAGATGTTCAAAGTGCCGTTCAGTACGTGTATATGTATATTGTTATGAAACCTAAATGACTTTGACAATTTTTGAAAGGTATTAAAAAACATTTCAAAGTTTTACTCATATTTATGTTCCACAGTGTAAGGTGAACAAATTACAATGGACACTTTTAAATACCTATTTCAATGTTATTTATATATTTTATTTTTAAGAATAATATTCTTATAAGACGGCATAGCACGGATTTATATGTTACAGTAATATAAATCCGTGGGCATTTCTCTGTAGCAGAATAGATTATGTAAAACGAGATTATCTTAATTATATCTTCAACAAAACCTAATAACACAATCTAAAAAGTTACAAAGACGTACATAAACATATAGCAATTTGAAATATCTTGTTACATTTTTTGTGGATTTAAATTCAAAGACCCCCATTGCTTTTGTTTTAAGCTATTTGACCTTTTTGGACGGTCTTATTGAAAGTCAAATAATATTATAACAAGTTTGACTGTTTAAACAAGTGTTGGCTCCTAGGGCAGAGCCAATGTTGACACCAACTATATTGCGATGTATAACCTTTCAAACGTGGTCGGTGCCTTGTACAAAACAACAAGCTCAATAAAATAGATAAAAGGGGAAAATGTCGAAATTTTTTAATCTAGAAACAGCAACAGACGTATTCATACGTCAGTCATCATGGAACGTCCAATGTTACATTGTCGTGCCATACTATTCAAAACGGCGTATGGACCCCAAGAAAGGGAACGCATGTGTCCTAAATGAGAAAATAATGAGCGGAACTGAATAAAATTAAATTTTGGAAAGGATCAGTGGTTTTAAGTCTGCATATCACAGATAAGACGTCAAAGACAAAATTAAGAAGCCGGTAGAATATCTTAAAGGTGATCAAACAGTTTCAATTAGGAATAGTTGAACCACTCATCAAAAAAAAAATAATAAAACTAAACTCCACGAAATTGCAAACTCAAAAATAATGTCGTGCTAAACGATCTTCAAAGATCGAAATTATAACATTGTATCTTTTTGTGACAAAATTACACTGATGTGGCATATTATTTAAAACAGAGAGAAAAAGATTCCCCGAGAAAAGCTCAAACTGGCATTATTGAACATTTTTCAATTTAGCCGTTTTGGACGCTCTTAGGGGTCCCTTTTCTCTCTATTCTATCGTATTAGCTATGGAAATATCATTATTAATCTATAAGCTTTCGGGAATGCATTATCTTTTAACAAATGGACATTGAATTTCTCAAAAAAGAATTAACAAAATAATCAATAACAAGCCCGTAAACCGGACAGCCAATATGTCCTTGAGCAACCGAAACATCTTGGTACCGAATTGACTTGCTCTTTCGTTTTGGCGCCAAACTAGAGGAGGGCGAACGACGTGGATTCTACGTACCCACATTTACCTTGGATTTGATTATCCAACCATAACCGGAGGTGAGAGCTGTTTTTACACAAAATCTCGATTATAGAGTAAGTACACGGTTTCAATAGAAGCCTTTATAGTTATTACAGTAGAACAAACCCTTAAGAACACCCATGAATTAAGACCACCCCCATTTTAAGACCACTTTTTAAAGAACATAATTTTCTTATCTTTATGATCTAGAATTAAGACCACCTTGCTTATCCGCTATTAAGACCACCAGTTTCTGTCCCAATTCTATGTAGATCGCAAGTAATAAATCTGCCTGAATGCTATTCGGTGTCAAAACTGTTATGATTAGGATATTGTATAAACTAGGCCAGAAAATAAATGTTAATGTTGCTTTCTGCACATTTATTTTGTGAAGAATTAATTTCTAATTATGTCTATCATATAATATTGAAACAAGACCAATGTGATTTAATCTTAAATAGAATTATGGTCTGCTCTCTTCAGAATGGATATCATAACATCCTTTTTTAGCAGTATTTGAATGTTATAATATAATACATATTGTTTATTCAAAAAGACAATGGTCATAAAATAAATATGCAATAATAAGAATATCCACAATAGAAACCACCCTGCAATTAAGACCATTTTGGTTTGGTCACGTTGGTGGTCTTAATAGAGGGATTCTGCTGTAAATTGAAATTATACAAGTTAATTGTAAAAAAGAATAATTTTAAAGAATGATACTTATTCATAAAATAATAAGAAGTGATAGAAAACAAGTTAGAACATTGATATGTTTATTCATTATTTTATTACAAAGATTTATAGAGGGAAGCCAATACATAAGGGACATCACCACATTATAAATATAAATGAATAATATTATGTGTTGTCTCCCTTGTTTGTAAAAAACTGGTAAAGGTTGTTGGTGATCATTTATAAGTAATCAGAGATAGTTTTAGCATGCCATGTTTAAGTAATACACCAAACATACCTAAGATATTAATGTTTCTTATTATTAAACCACACATATTTATAGGAAATTAATGTCATACATGTAGTTGTGAACATCAAAGTCACAGCTTGACTTTAAACCTTTTAAGACCAAGACATTAAATTTCATCTTCATGGCCTACAGACCTATATATTTTGCATGATTTTGTAGATTGCTTATAAGAAATCTAATATGTATACTTTGACCTCATTATAGGCTTGCATGCTAAGATTTCACAACTATTCTGATTTTTTTTAGTTGGTATACTTACAATGCATTGATGCATTTGGTTGACTTTATACATCATTATTCAATTTTGCCGTGTTGGGCTTTCTTTAGAGATTCTGTTTTTCTCTATTTCAGTAGGATCATTACTGATCTTAGCAGTCCTTGGTTAATTAATCTGGCAAGGATAATTTGATCCTTTTTAACAGAGACTGTTGAAAGAAAGAAATTGTCCATCCAAAATTATCTTAATGTCTCTTTGACAAGTCAGGTCACTGTACAAGACCCAGAAACTGTAGCATGGATTTCTACTGCAGTTATTGCCATTTTTCAAGATCAGTCTAATGAAAAGTACTCATCTAAAACTTCTCAATTATAATAATATGTAACTTCCCAAAACTCATCACATTTCCGTGTTTTTGACTGAATTTATTGGCTTTTATGGATTTAGAGAATTTCTGGTCAAGGGTTTATTCTCAGGATAAACTACCATTGCAGAATGTGTTCACTTGCATCTTCACATAAGTTTCATAGTTCAGGTATGCCAAAGT